GGATTAAAAAAAAAAAAAAACAAAAATCAGTCAAACCAGGCAACTTGGGTCGTTGGCTTTGGCACAATTTGGAATTAACCTGAGCTTTGCAAAGCAGGTCCTTCCCTTGASGATACGGTTGGGTTGGTTTTCCTTTTCACAGCTTTTCTTCCCAGATTTTTCCTGTTGTTTTTTTTCCCACCTTTTGCCTACCTGCATCTGCTGCTTTAGCAACCGATTTCCTGGAAGGCAGATTGCTGGGGTCCATCCCTGTTTTCCGAGGTGACAGCGGGGTGGTTCCAGCAGTCACAGCCCCTATTCCTTCAGGAATATCCCAAAGGAAAACAGGGAAGGCAGGTGGGGGAAGAAGCACCGCCCGTGGTTGTGGCTCTTTCTCTTGTGCAGCAGAATTCCCTTGGGAATCGCTGTGATTCAGAGCAGAGGAATTATCTCTGCTGGCTGAGGATGTTTGGGAAAGCTGCAGGGCCTGAATTTGAAAGGAAAAGGGGGTGATTTATGACCTGGGGGTATAAATACCCCACTGTCACAGCCTCCAAGCCCATGGATCATTCCCCATTCTCTGGAATCAGCCCTTGCTGAGCTGTTTGGGGTGTGGGGGCACAGGATGGTCCCCCCAATGTCACCTCCCTGTCCCCATGGGGTTTTTTCACCCACTTTGGGCATCACCCACCCTCAGCCAGCAGCTGTTCCCAAAGGCCATGGGCACCTCAGCCTTTCCCAGCAGCTGATGGATTTTGGGATCCAAAAATGCTGGTTTTGGGGAAATGTGGCTCGGTGCCGGTGCCAGGGCAGTGCCCTGCGTTGGGGAGGGGTTGGAAGGCAGAACCGAGCAGATCTGGCAGGAATTTTGGCTGGGTGTTCATGCAGTGCTGGACAGGGATCCCAGGGGGACACCCCATGGGCATTGTCAGGGATTTTGGAGCAGGAGCTGAGCACTCTGAGCGTTTTTTCACTTAAACTGGGAGTGCTGGGAAAGGGCTCAGTGAGATTCCCGTTGGTCTCTTCCCTTCCCGGTGCTGTGTGAGCCGTGTCCTTTGCAGCAGCTCCCGGATCACCCCCAGCTCTCCCCTTCCCCTCCTCCCGTGCTCTCCRCAGGCAGGGCTGAGCCTCTCCCAGGGGATCTTTGCCAATCTTTCCCTGGATCTTTCCACCTTCCCTCGGTGCTCCCAGCGCCGCAGGAAAACGGCGACTTCCCAGGAAACTTTGGAATTGTCTTAGGATCACACGTCACTAATCCCACGGGGCTGTTTAGGATTCTGTCAGCAGACCACTGGGTTTCCACTCTTCTGAGTCACATGCCTCCACTTTTCCCTCTTTTTTTTTTTTTTTTTTTTTTTTTTTTTTT